AATGATCATTTATTGTCTGTGTTTTCTGTAAATGTCCCTCCAGAGCTCCGAGGCCCACCCGACGGTCATGCTGTTTGCTCTCATCGCTCTGGAGAAGTTCTCCCAGACCAGTACGTTCACTCACTGTTTTCACAAGATTTTTTATCAACTCGTGACTTCCTTTTCAAATAACTAATCAAATAGGTGGCCATGACAACGGCCATGTCCATTGAATCTACTTCTGCTTATTTACTACTTCTCTTGTGGTTGTTTGTTTATTTGCATATGAAATATTCTGAGAGATTTGCTCTTCTCCAACCGATTTTTCAGCTTATTTCGAAAGCAACATGCCACCCTCAGTTTAAGATTACTTTGCTGCAATGTTTTACGGGAACTTGACTGGAATTTGCCCTAACACTTAATTTCCTATTTTCCATAACCCTTTAGAGACATATATCAGTAAAGTCACTTGTATCTCTGACATTGATTTGTCCGGCAGTGGCTCAGTCAGTAGGGGCTTGGACTATGAGCTGTTGGGTCGCCGGTTCAAGTCCCCGACCAGACCTAAATATGGAGTGTGGACTTCTACTTGGAGAGGTCCCAGTTCACCTCCTGCCCTGCCGTGGTGCCCTTGAGCAAGGCACTGTACATCCCCCTTCCCCCCTCACTCCCATTGCTCCCCGGGCGCTGTATAATAGCTGCCCACTGCTCCTACTAGACTCCTGGTACTAGGATGGGTTAAAAGCAGAGAACACATTTCACTGTGTGTGCTGTGTGCTCTGCATGTGTTACCATTAAAGAGGGTTTCATCCCTCCCAATTCTAATTCTAGACTGTTTTAACACACATGCCTGGTGCATTTCCTCGCCTGCAGGTGAGAACAAACTGACAGTGTCTGAGTCGTGTATCAGCAATCGACTCGCTGTCCTGGAGTCGTGGGCTGAGCATTCCGACTACCTGAAGAGGCAGGTCGGGTTCTGCTCACAGTGGAGCCTCGACAACCTGTGTGAGTAGCCCCACACTTTCAACTTTAGATGTTTCTGTAGGATAGTGTTTATTTGGATATTTTTTGTCTTAGTCTCATCTTTTTTTAAATATTAAGTCAACCTAATCCTGCTTTAGTTGACAAAAGTCTGGGCATTTTTGTCCTCTTGGTTAAAGGAACCCCTTACATATTGGTATTAGCTGTAGTTTTAGTCAATTTTAAACCTTTTACATGGAACATATTTTGTGTTTTTGTTAACAAAATCAAGACTGATGTAGAATCCCATGCTACACAATTAGGTGTGTGTGTGTGTGTGTGTGTGTGTGTGTGTGTGTGTGTGTGTGTGTGTGTGTGTGTGTGTGTGTGTGTGTGTGTGTGTGTGTGTGTGTGTGTGTGTGTGTATAATTATGTTTCCTCTGTCCAGTCCTTAAAGATGGTCGTCAGTTCACATACGAGAAGGTCAACCTCACTATTATCAACGCCATGCTCAACAGCAATGATGTGAGCGAGTACCTCAAGATCTGCCCGACTGGACTAGAGGTTAGTCTGTGTGTGCTGTCTTCATGTATTCAAATATGATAAGTAACAGAACAGAAGACAACATAACCCTCATACAAATGTTTTTCTTTCGCAAGTGTATATGAGAATGTCTTATGGTTCTTTTTTCTCTCCTATCCTCAGGCACGATGTGACGCCTCGTCCTTTGAGAGCGTGCGTTGCACATTCTGCGTGGATTCAGGCATTTGGTACTACGAGGTGACGGTCATCACGTCGGGTGTGATGCAAATCGGATGGGCCACCAAGGACAGCAAGTTCCTCAACCATGTACTCATCTTCAACCTTTACCGTTCAGCTTTTTCACTGTCTGTTTCCTTGCAGTCACACAACTTAGCGCTCTGATGTGTGTGTGTGTTTGTGTTACAGGAGGGCTACGGGATAGGAGACGATGAATACTCATGTGCGTACGATGGCTGCAGGCAGCTCATCTGGTACAACGCTCGCAGTAAACCTCACTCTCACCCCTGCTGGAAGGAAGGTCAGCATTACACACAGGACTCCTTTTTTGCTTTTATTTTATCACAAACAAAGTTTTCTGTCGGTCTTAACAGTTGCAGAGAGAGGACATCACGTCTTACTAATTTTTTAAAAAATTGCTTCACTTTTCATTGGGTTTGTGATTTATAGAACCCACACGGCAGCATTTAGGCTCTGATTTACCTCCCTCACGGAGTATCAGATAATAGTTATAACGGTGTGCCAAAACGTTATTCTTGTGTGTATGTGGCCTGTTTAGGAGATGCTATCGGCTTCCTGTTGGACCTCAGCAAGAAGCAGATGATTTTCTATCTGAACGGACATCAGCTGCCACCAGAGAAACAGGTCTTCTCCTCCGCCACGTAAGTCTACACACAAACATACCATCAAGTCCTTTATCTCTTTTCCCCTGGTTTGTGTTCTGGTGACTTCTTTCTTCTCCCTTTATGTCCTTCCTATACCCTTCATTCTGTCCTGTGTATTTCCAACTTCTTGTTACTGTCCCTTTTTTAAATGAACCCGTGTCTTTCCTACCCCTCTGTCTCTGTTAGGTCCGGTTTCTTTGCGGCAGCCAGCTTTATGTCGTACCAGCAGTGCGAGTTTAACTTTGGGGCCAAGCCTTTCCGTCACCCACCTTCGGTCAAGTTCAGCACCTTCAATGACTTTGCTTCTCTGCTGCCCAGTGAAAAGATCATCCTGCCCAGGTACAAAACGAAGCTGTCCATAGAGGGATTTTGAGAGCAGTCTCTAAAAATAGACTACACTCTGAGAATTTGGAAATGCAGAATGCAATCTGTTGCTGTACCAAACGGTCCTCTGACTAGTGAATCATTTGTTTGCACACAGCGTCCAACACGTAGTTGTGCCATGATACAAACATGACTCATCTTTTGGGGCGCTCCAGTGTTCACAGAGAAGATTCATTAATTTGTTGGCAAAACTAAAGCAGCTCTGAAGACTAGTTATTAGTTTTACAACAAGGCACCATAGCTTTCTTTTAGCAGACACCTTTAATATTCGGATTTCAGTTAAATGGCAGTGACCTAGCATCCCCAAAATGAAATGCACCATTTACTTATTATACCTGATTTTGACAATATGTAATTTGAAGTCTCTATTGTAATAAATAACATATTTGTGAAGCTTAAATCATCGGATTTGGTTGAATTCACACTAAAGTGATCCCATGCTGCAACACAACCTAAAACATTACCAGAGCTGAATTAAGACAGTGTTAATCAAAACGGAACATTTTTATCTAGACAAAAGCCTTTTTCCCACAGGACTAGTACCACCAAGGACCTCTAGTCATTTGTAATAATTCAGCTGTGATAGAATCGAGGGTCAAATTTGCCATTACTTGTCAAGTAAAAGAGAAGAAGATAGTATTAAATACATATCTGTAAATGGGAATATTAATCAGCTTGTTTGCATATGCTTGTTTGTTTATGTGTTTCACAGACACCGGCGTCTAGCCTTACTAAAGCAGGTTAGCATCCGAGACAACTGCTGTACGCTGTGCTGCGACGTCATGGCCGACACGGAGCTGCGGCCCTGTGGACATGGGTATGTGTGCATGTCAGCAAGTAAAACAGTTTAAATCAATGTTATTTGAATCGTAAATCTGTCACAGAAAATAGAACATCTGAGTTAATAACATCCTAAATTGTTCTGTTTTCCTCCAGTGGTATGTGTATGGAGTGTGCCTTACAGTTAGAGACGTGCCCCCTGTGCCGCCAGGACATCCAGACCCGCGTCAGACTCATTGCACATGTCTCCTGACAAACCTCCTGCCCCTTCTCCTACATGGAGAGACACACAAACCCTACAGCCTCCTCCTTTAATCCCCTCTCACCCAGCAGGGCTGGAAGGATGGCGCCACCATGTTGTCATGATGCCACAACTGTGTCTTCTGGTCAGAGGAGGCGACGATGGAGGGGAGGAGAGAAGGAAAAAAGGAGATAAGAGGAGGGGGAATTAAACCAGCTGGATTCCTCCCATTTACCTACTTCACCTCTTTTGTATAACTCACTGCAGAAGCTGGGGAAGGAAGCATCAACTTTCTGCCAACAGTCAGACAAAGAGAGCAAGAGTCACAAGCAGAAATAATTTAACGAGAATACAGACAGAACCAAGCTCTGGTCTGCAAACCCCTGCGTAGAGTTGTTAAACGTTGATTCTATGATATGAGGATCTCACTGCGCTTTCAGCTCAGAGGCTACTACTATTTAATCCCATTGCCGTCATGCACACATCTGCAGATCTGAAAGGGCCGGTTGCAGAGGAACACAGCCTTTAGTACACTATTAAACCCAAGGTACAGATGCATTTGAGATAGTCCCATCTATATGTTTTTGGGTATAGATATACGAATTCTGGTGTTCTCTACGTAGCATTTCCATTGTCTTTTCTCGAGGTTATACCAACTCCTATCCTTTGGTCAGCTTCACTGTCTGTACTAATTGATCGCCCACTGGTAGAGTTTGAAAAAAGACATTATCGGGTAAAATATCAGATTTTTATCTTGTTTTCATAAAGCTTTAAAGTTCCACAAAGAGTTTTCTGGTTTGGTTTACAATGTAAAATTAAATCAGCTGTCAAGCAACCGAAAGCATTTTTGACAAAATGTATGTTTTACAGCCAGTTCAAAACTTGAATCTGTATGGGAAGTAATTGTCAAGCACGACTGACCCTGCTGCTTTTTGTGCTTTATTGTCTTTGCTCAGATGTTGATATTTCCTCTGTCTCTGTCCTCTCTGTAACAACCACAACAAAGGAATACAAAAGATTTGACAGAAAATGTATCCACAAGTTGTATCCCCCACTTAAAAGTCTTTATGTTTTAAGAGCCAGTAAGGGGGAAGTATACAAATTGACACCGACAACTTCTGAATTTATCTTGGATTGCTTCATTGGTGCTAACAATTTGGCAACAATTCGTAATTTAGCTTCACCATGAGTCAGGCTCAGTTGAGGGGCATCATAAGTAAATATGTCTTAATTTTTGTTTGTCATAACAAACACGTGCGTCTGTATTAAGATGACTTTTTTTCAACCTTCAAGATGTGATTTAATTTTGTATTATATTGATGGTGAACGCTGATATAGAGACTTGACAGTGTTGTGTTAGCCGATCAGTAAATTGTTTAAAACAAATGTGAAATGTTGAAGTGAATCGTTTTTCATCAATATCAGTTTACTAAATATCCCAGCGCCATCTTAAAATGCAGTGAAATACCCACTACACAGTTAAATGACCTAAAGAGTGAGGGCTTCAGTACAGAATTTCTATTTATTTTTGTCTGGTTGGCAGTGTGTTGTCCAATATATCTTTAAGACTGAATAAAATGTTGTTGTCCTCTTTGTGCTTTATATAACTTATAAGCTTATTATATAAGCACGTTTAGCCATTTCTCCATCTTCCTCCCAGTCTTCATAAACCTCATGTTTTCTGTCGTTTCTCTGTCCATCGCTTACTTGAAGCATCTCTGGGTTGACAATGACATTTTGGAAACGGGTGATGAAATAGGAGAGGTAGTTATTCAAGAAAAACTATGTACAATTACAAAAATCAATGTTACCAAATTACCACCATGAATAATTTCGAATTTATGTTGGACAAACTGTTGTTGACAGACTTACTACTCCACCAAATAGCATGACAAGGATCTTTGAAATCATTCAGACTATACTGTAAGGATTTCTGAAGGGTAACATGCACCTCTCAGTAGGAGAAAGACTGGTTTGCTATCTTGTATTTCCTGGAGCACCTTATACTGTACATGCAGGTGAGAGAAATTATATGTTGGTCTCTATGGTTGGAGATGAAGTTCAGGATTGTATAGAATAAGTTGTGGGTTGTATTTAAAACATCGATAAAGGAATTTTGCTCAAGAGTTCCCTAAGATGTGACTGACGAATTGTTGTTTCCTGGATTGTGATATTTGTAAAAAATAAATGTTTGTTCATCTGAGGTTATGACCAAGTGGTGTTTAATTATCTCAAATTGTCTTGTGTCTTAAAATAGGAGTGACAATAATCTGCATCTTTAACAATGGCGTTCCAGTTGTTTTACAGAAACACTTGCTAATAACATATGCTATTACACATATTGTAAACTTCATAATAGACACTAATTTACACAGCAATTCATTCTTTAAATAACAATTGGTCACTGTCAATATAGCTACTTATTATACATCCATGATAGCTACCAATACTTGAATTTAGTAAAGAATGACTGAAGGATGGTAGTATTTAGATTATTTGCTTACATTTGAGTGAAATTCCAGCACAGGAAGCAAGTGTTGTTTCAGTAATCTTGGTAAAAATACTAGTAATTCATTTATCTAATAATCGATGCCAAACGATATATGTTTCAGGTAGGAACTAATGGACGAAGCTTTTGTTCTACCGGACACAACTCATTTGCGCACGTGAAGTTCGCCACCGTTTCCTTGGTAACAACACTACGTTCGGCATTCATCATACACGGTAACGATTATTCAACAAAATGGACATCCAGGAACGAAGTAAGACAGATTATTTGACTATCATTTTAAGTTCAAGGTAGGGGTGAAGTAATACGTTTATTGAGGAAAATGCTAACATGTAGCTAACAAACAGACACGCTAACAACATGTGCTAAACATGCTAACTGTTAGCTTGACTAGCCACCTAACGTTAAGTAACGCTATTCTTCGGTAACGTTAACAGACTCGTTAGCCCTTACTGTCTGTGTGGTGCAACGAAATGTATTGTGAACACTTGCAGCTAACCGAGCTCCTTTGCATAGCTAACAGCTTTGATTTTCACCGCAACATATTCATTTATTGCCTCTCCTCATCCTCCAGATGTCAGAGGCTGTGGAGACAACATCGTAGAAATGATTGACATGGACGAAGAAAACTTTGCTATTTCCACGTAGGTACTCACAATCCAGAAACTATGATTTCCATTCAGAGCTGTGTCATTTAGAGAGTGTTAATGTTTGCTTTTCGAAACCAAATGCAAATGCCAAATAATGTATTGTTCAAGCTGAGTGGTCATTGAGAGACTTGTCTCTCGCTGTCTTAAGAATTTTATATTTTGAATGCTCAAGACTTGAGCATTAACTAAGGCTTAAGGGGAGCTAGTGCCATGACAACCAAGTGTCAAGTTCTATTTTATGAGGCTCAAGCTAGAACAAATGATACAATACGGTGATGTGCTGCATATACAGTCTGATTTGAATGGTGTGTCTTGTTTTTTTCTCCAGTTCCTCAGCTGCAGATGCTGCTTTTGATGCTGTTGTTGGCTCAATAGAAGACATCATCATGGGTAGGATTAGTTAAGCAACACCTTCAGCCTTTTCTGTAAGCATTTTGTTGTGTTGGTCTTACTATTTTTGATTTGTGATAATTTATATTCAGCCACCGGAAAGTAAGAAGTGATAATCATAGTTTGATGTTGTAGAAACATATCCAATATTATCTTTTTGTTCCTGAACATGAGGAACTTTGTGTCTTTAAGATGTATTATATACAAATATTGAGAGGTATGCTCCTAAAGTGCTCCAACTAATTGTCTCGATCTGTTCATTCGTGGTGAACATTCTATTACTGAAAAGTATAACAAGTATTTCATATTTTATCCTAGACATTCTTTTAAAGACTACCTTGCTAAACCTGTATAGACATACACATCTCAAGTGTTTCCGATATTGATATGTATTACTTTTTTTTTTAGAGGAGGAGTTTCAGCAGCTTCAGCAGAACTTCATGGACAAACACTACCTGGAGTTTGACGACTCTGACGAGAACAAGCTCAGCTACACGTCCATCTTCAATGCATATGTGAGTTGCTGTGGTCCAATGTATCTCCCTCACCTGTCTCTGAGGAACATGCCATACAATTATCTGATTTGTATTACCCTGTCTATGTACCACCATACACACGTCCCTTCAGAAATATCTCAGATTTTACCACATCGTCTTTCATTTTTACAGCTCTGTCTAGTAGTCAGGGATGTAAACTAAGACCTATTTCGTTATAATACTCTTGACTGTTGTGTAGGTCGACCTGCTGGAGAAACACCTGGAGCAGCAGCTGCTGGAGAGGATCCCCACCTTCAACATGAACTCTTTCATAGAGCTGCTCATGTAAGATGTGACATCACAACTCTCTCCTGAGCTCCTATAATGACTTTACTTCCACTGATAACATACTGCTCTGGAGAAAATGATGAGACCACTCAAACATTTTCTTAAAACTCCATCTCTACATGTATGGCAGCCATTCCATTCCAGTGTCTGTTGAATTGCAACACAGAGAAATGTTGTCGGTAGTTTATAGAATACAACAAAAATGTGTTGTGGTGTAATTGTGGATACACCTGTTGCATCTAAGAAGTTGTATTTTATATTCGGTAACTAGGCGGCACTAAACTACATTGCAACATGTGTCCCTCTTCCATGTGCAGGCAACACAAAGAGGAGGTGCCAGGGGACATCTTTGACATGCTGCTGACCTTTACTGACTTTGCGGCCTTTAAAGAGATGTTTCTGGAATACAGAGCGGTGAGTTAAACCTACTTTGATTAGTATTCTCTTTTTTGTATGTTTTTACTTGGTATGTTGACAGTGGGTAAGCCTGTGTTCATGCACATTTAAATCTATACTGATTTCTGCAGTCAACTGGGTAAAAACAAGTGGTTAAATCACGCTTTACTTAAAAAGTACAATATGCAAATTCCTGGTAGGGGTCTTCTGAAACAAATCAACAAAACTGATAGATCAACAAAAGACTTACTTTGGTCACATTCTCAAGTAGCGTGGAATTATGGAAGTTTTTTTCCCTTCCTCCAATGTCATTGTTTGTGAGGCAGTTATCTTTGCACTTTTAGGGTTTATTCAGTTTCATCTATAAGAGGTTTTTACTGGGGGACAAATTATCTTCATATCTCGTCCTCTACAAAACAAACTGACCCCCTGACTCAAATCAGTAAAACATCAAATAAAGCGAATTCATGTAGAAAATTCTCTGATGAATTAGGATCAAGACGACAAAGGACTGTAATCCTTTCTCAGGTTAAAAATATCTAGTTAGAAAAGACCAAGATCTAAAAAGTATGGTAAACATGTGGCTTAATAAATTGATGAAATATTCAATTATGACAATCAACCATAGCGCTAACGTATGCACACAGGGGATACATAGCCATCAAGGCATTTTTTATGAAGAACTGTTACAAATACACTTTTATTTGTGGTTCTAGGAGAAGGAGGGCCGAGGGCTGGACCTGAGTCAGGGACTGGTGGTCACATCTCTGATCCCCGCGGGATCCTCTGAGCCGCAGTGACACTCACAGAGAACCAACATTTGAATTGCCTCCTCCTCTACAGTACATGTTTATTTAACATTTTGTCCATGGGCCTTCAGAGCTTCGCAGTCTAATGATGAGCTGCTGGAAACACTCCCCGTAAATCTACAGCCTGTGCACAAAGGACTCCTAACGGCCAAATTGTAAATGCATTCCTCTGTGTTTTATGTGGCGAAGGTATGTGTGTTCAAGACGCTCTCTTTAGTTAATGAGTGAGATCTTTCTTTTTACTGTCCAACAACTGCACTGGGCACAATGACTACTTGAAATATGGAAATGTGTGTACCTGGAATCTACAGATTTACGCACCATTTTATGTCTTTGCAAGTTCTGCCCAATAACGGAGAAGGACTCTGGTGCTGCATTGGACTAAATGTATGTTTTTTATGTCTTCTCACTGGTTCTTATGTGAATGTATCAACAAACCCCCCTGTAAGCAGAGGAGACCATTTGTGTGAATGTGTAACTCGGCTCTCTTTGCCTGGGTTGGTATTTTTTGTAAGAAAATAATATATGTTTTATGAAGTTTTAAATTATTTTGTCAGTTTGAAACATATTCGATTGAGCTTTGCATCTGTGAAAGTCAGTCTTTAGGTATTTAGTGACTGTGTGCGTCTGTGTGTGGGCATGTGCGTGTGTCTGCAATTAGAAATAAGATGTATGTTTTAAGTACAATGTCAAAGGTATTTTCTGATGTTTCATTTGTTGGTAAAACGATATTTTTAAATAAACCTTTAAAAATTCTTACATTGAATTTCATGTGTTTTTTATTTGATCAAGTGCATGCTTGAGCCCCAGCACTCACCATATGGTTTTACTAGTATTGTAATTCTTGGTACAAAATGACACATCGTATTTTATAAAGGCACATACAGCAGGAGTTTAGCCCTGTCTCATATAAATCAAAGAAAAAAATGTTACACACTTTTTTTCCATAGCTCTGAGTACTTAGAAGAACAACATCTGAATCATTAAAGGGTCTTAATTTCCCGCTGAAACCATGCGTCTTTATAACACACATTCTTGAAAGACTCACTTTCAGTGCTTTGGCTAGGTCCATGGAGAATTTATGAATGAGTCTGGATTTCCTGTTTAGAACATCGAATTGGATTTCTGCACAACATTACGTTACTATTACTCTTTAAACCTTCTGTACTGCTATAACTTGGTATTTTAGATCATTTCTTATATGATCATCACAGAAAGCAAATGCAAGCGTCAAGCATGTTCCAACATGGACCTACAACAACCGCGCTCTGTAAACAGGTAATGCTAAGCAAACAATCTCAATGTATCTTCACGGTTCTTCTTGATAGATGACAGTCCTAGGGCTACACACTGCAGAAATGTTTAAAATCAAAGTTGAGTCAGGCTGCCCAGTGCTAATGTAAGCGGTGTGTTACTGTGAACTAGTCCTCTAATAGCCACAGGAACATGGATTAATTAATTAATAATCAAGGACACACCGTTAGAGCCGTTAACACCATTCATTACCAGCCATTTTATTATCTAGTGGCCAAGTTTGACTTTTAAATCATGAACAATAACTGCACTAGCCATGAAGTTCTAAATACATTCTTCCATGGTTGGGTAACATTACTTTAAATATATAG